TGCAGGTGATGCAGGATGCGGGGGTAATTGAGAAGAGGGAATGGGGTGAATTACATTGAAACATTTTATTTTTTATGGAAACAAGAAGATAATTCAAAAAAATTTATACTCGTAACTAAACTATGTCCTTAAAAATCTTTTTGCATTTGAGTTGAAAGCATTTGTCAAAACGTCCAAATTCTGAAATTTTTTATTCTAAGATATGCTTTATCGCAAGTCTCAAGTCGGTTCAAAAATGTGACTATAATTTAAAGTAAAAAAAACTCCAATATAAATGCTTTAAAAATAAAATAAAAATCCTTATATTTTTAACAAGTTCCGTAATGAAACTTTTTAATTGAGACTTGAGAGTTGCTTAAAGTTATAATATAGGGTTATTCACAGAGAATTAGACTTTGCAGACGAGATGTACGGAAATTGTTTAGTCCCTTACATTAAGGGTTCCTAGCAGGCCAAAACTGCTACGGTGGTAGGCGATTATATCAATACAATGAAGATAACTTTCGATTTCAATTTTGTTTCATATCAAGCATTTAAACAGCATGGATGTACACAAACAAATAGAAACAAAGAGAAACTGTCCAATCAATCAATCAAACAAAGCTTCTCTTTAATTACTTGTAAACTTGTAATTCGAAAAAGCTTGTTAACAATAAAAACTTAAATAAAAAGTCGTCTTTATATATATATATATATTATCGCCTAACATTGCATGGTAACGTTAAAATACTAAACTGATTGCATTAAACAAATAGTCATATTTTAAGAGCTGTAGGTCGTCTTCACAGTCTCATGGAATGATCGTAATTTTCATGTTTTCTCTAGACCTGGCAGAAGAGTTTTTCCATGAATAAAATTTAGCTTATTCAAAAAATAAATTCGATGATTTTTCTGTTTAAATTGGTAGCATTCTGAAAATATTTTTTTTCCTGGTAAATTGTTTTTTGGACACCCATGAACCTTCCCTGGGGTCATGTGAGTTGCCACAAAAAATGTGGGCCCCATCGAGAAGTAGTTGAAGTCGATTTAGACATTTTAGAGAAATGAAGTCAAATTTTACTTTTCTACATTTATTATATACAGGGGTGTTACCCGCAGAGACGAAACTGAACAGAATTTATGTTGTCTGAGCTGGTAACTTTTAAATGGTGTATATCGGGATTAATGCTTGATCCACTCTTTTTCTTAATCTCAAGATTAAATAATGCTTGTTCTTCTCTTCTTATTAATCTCCAGATTAATTTACCGATCAGGATTAAGGATATCCCATTCTAAAGTTTTCAGCTCTGTTACCATATATTGACGAATCCCTGCAACCGCAAACTTCTTTCTTTCTTAGACGTCAAAAAAAGGCCATTAGATTACTATATTTATAATTTAACCGTGGGATCGTGACATTTTTCGGTCGTCTATACAGTCTCATCCTTTGTGGGTAACCCTGTATTTTTTTGGGCATTTCCAAGGATGGGCAATGTATGTAATTTTTCTATTACGTTAATTAACGGTTGGTTCGCCGTCAAGAGAATTCCATTAGTGGACTCCTGTATGCCGAGTCCATTAGTGTCTGATCCAATCAGGGTTCATGGTCATGTGTTTGATGTCTATTCTGAATCAATAGAAATAGTATGGCGGTAACATCTATCTTTCTATCTAGCTCATTATCCAATCAGAGTTATGAATCCTTCAATCGACGCTATCAGTAAATGGAATTATTTACTTCTACTGAAATTATGGTATGCACTCAGCCCCTAGTAAAATTGACGGAGTTAAAATATGTTTAATCTTTTTGCCTCAATTCTGTATTAAAAGTGGAAAAGTGTTCAAGAAAAGAATAAATTGCACAATAAATCCTTCCCTCGGGGTTTGAATTAAAGGAATAAAACATGTTGAAAATGAACACGGCAAATTCTTTTCAACCCACAACCCTGTAAGACTGAGGGTATTAATTTATTTGTAGCTAGGGGGGGGGACTCGGAAGCCTCCCCCCCCCTCCCTAAAATGCCTTATCGAGTAAAGGTATTTAGATTGAAGGTGCATAACAAGTTCAGAGCTCAACTTTTTAAGGCCAGCTTATCACCAAAATTAGACTTGTAACTTAATTTGATAGCGTAATAAGGAAGTTTAAGTAAGTCGAAAAAAAGTGATTATTTTGTTTTGATATCGCAAAAAGTGATAAATGACACAGGCTTTAAGAAGATATATCACTTATATATCGTATCGTTTGTATTATATCGCTCATATATTAATAAATATATATATTTATTTGTATATATGTTAGCTATTGCTATCCAAACGGCTGGACCGAATGGGCTGAACTCATTTGAGGAAACCCATGGGTAGCCTAGGGGTAACTTAGGCTAAAAAAAAATTCTTCTTATAAATCGATTTTTTCAATCGAATTTTTGGTATATTCGATTTTTTTATTCCAAGGGCAATGCCAGGCACTTGAGCTAGTAGTTAATATTATCATAAGAATATTCTTGGGATCATATTCTTACATATGATTCATATGCTTGTGATACATATATTTGATGCATACACTCTTGTGATGCATATTCTTGTGATGCGTATTCTTGTTATTTATCTGCTTGTAATACATTTATTTGATGCATTGCATATACTCTTGTAATATATTTTTTATGCATATTCTTGTGATGCATTGTATATTTATTTGATTCATTTAATTATCATTCTTGTATTTGTGATATGTATGCAAACTCCTAAGATTTATAATCTTGTGATGCATGACGCGTACTCTTGTGATGCATATTGTTGTGATGTATGACACGCACTCGTGTGCTGCATGGTTGTGATGCATGACACGTACTCTTTTGATGTATATTTTATGATGCATGAGACGTACTCTTGTGGTGTATATTTTATGATGCATGAGACGTATTCTTGTGGTGTATATTTTATGATGCATGAGACGTATTCTTGTGGTGTATATTTTATGATGCATGAGACGTATTCTTGTGATGCATATTTTTGTGATACATATTGTTGTGACCATATTGTTGTGATGAATATTGCTGTGATGCATATGGCTTGTGATGCATATTTTATTGATGCAGGTGATGCAGGATGCCCTTGACGAAGCTACTGATCCCTGGGGAGTAAAAGCAGAACGAGTAGAAATGTAAGTTCATTTAAAAATATGGTTAGTGTAACTTTCAAAAATCATTTATTAAGAACCAGTAAACATTGGAATGTGAAGACGACATTAAAGCAATTTGATATTGTTACAAAGCAAATAGTTTTAATTGACCCTTATATATTAAAATGGGTCTGTTCTCTGTTTACTTTGAACGATTGATGTGTCTCATGTGGACTACAATTCTATACCTAGATATATGAAAACTATATTAGAAAACCTATAATCTAAACCTAGATCTATAAAAACTATATTAGAAAACCTATATAAACCTAGATATATGAAAACTATATTAGAAAACCTATAATCTAAACCTATATCTATGAAAAGTATATTAGAAAACCTATAATCTAAACCTATATCTATGAAAACTATATTAGAAAACCTATAATCTAAACCTATATCTATGAAAACTATATTAGAAAACCTATAATCTAAACCTATATCTATGAAAACGATTTACTAGAAAAGACGTGAGACTTCCAGTGCAGCTTCAAAGAGCTATGGCAGCAGAAGCAGAAGCAGCCAGGGAAGCTAGAGCTAAGGTAAGGCTATATGTACACAATTGTATCCTAACTTTGTACCCTTCGTTCATAATAACTCCCTGACTATGTATGCTATATGTACAAAATGGCACTATAACTATGTACACATGTACATAATGACTTCCTAACTATGTAACCTAAGTGCAAATAACATCATGACTATGTGCGCTATGTACAAAATTACACCATAACTATTTACACAGTGACTTCCTAACTATGTATCCTTTGTATACAAAATGACTCCCTCACTATGTACACTATGAACTAAATGACATTCTAACTATGTACACTATGAATACGATGACTTCTTATAAACGCTATTCAGATACACAATGACACCCTTACTTTGAACACAATTACGTCCCAACTATGTACCTTATAACACTCTAAATCAGTACAAGCTATGTACACTAGGTACACGATGTAATCCTATCTATGTATAGTATGTACATAAAAAAGACCTAGCTATTTATAGTATGGACACAATGAAATCCTAGCTATGTACACTATGTACACAATGAAATACTAAGTATTCGTACAATGTACAATGTACAGGTGATAGCAGCTGAAGGAGAGCAGAAAGCGAGCAGAGCTTTGCGAGATGCCGCTGAGGTTATTGCAGAGAGTTCATCAGCGCTCCAGGTAAAAAGATTATCTTTAAAAGAAAGACGACATTTAAAAATGCAATAATTTTGATGTCATATCAATTAGGCCAATGATCGATTGGGCTAACCTTCAATTGGAATAATGTTCATTTGGACTGAAGTTAAAAAAAAAGACTATAAATCTTTTGAACAATTATTTTTTCAATTGAACTAATTTTTCAAGTCTATAAAAAGTATATGATGATTTTGACATCAGCTATTGTGCTGCGTACAAAGTTGTAAAACAAGATTTGAAAAATGGAAAAGATTTAGACAACATTTGCTCCAAAGAGGTCCTGGTAAAAGATATCAATTGGTTTGCTGAAACGTAGATTACAAATATAAAAAAAAACCTCGAGGACCCTGTCTACAATAAAGGCTTCCCGCTTACCCTCCTTCAACTTTTTAAGCATACCCAACTTTATAGAATATTTATAAATGGGTAAAGCTTGAGTATATACATGCTGTCCCATCACTTATATTAGATCGTGTATAGCTCGATCAAAATTGTGATTTTAGGGATTAATCAGAAAAGTAAAAAACAATGAATCATTTTTAATAAACGTGAAAGGTTTTTATAAAAGTTATCTTACAGAAAATACTCGGTTTTTCGAGTATTTTCTGCGTATTTTGGCGTCAAAACTTGGAGATAATCTAATGTGATATGGGACGCTCTGTCGCTAAACTATTTAGGCTATGACAAGCAATGTTAATCCGCTCCAGGAGAAAGCTAATTGCTAATTATCTGATTGACATTAGCTGGTCAAAAAGTTGAACCGGCAGATATAATAATGAACTTAAAAAAAATAAAGGGTTGAGACGTTTAGAAATACCTCTAACATTTTTTTGCAAAACGTATTGAACATATAAAAATGTATATTTTTCAATTAGTTCATTTGAACATAATTAATTTTCATTTTATTTGTGTATTAATGGGCTAAACTGACTTTAGCATAATTAAACGTTATTCCAATCGATATAGGATCATAATTTTAAGGTTTAAATAACGAAATCTTTATTTAGTTGAGATATCTACAGACAGACCCTATCCACTGTATCTATCTATCTATTTAGTTGAGATATCTACAGACCCTATCCACTATATCTATCTATCTATCTATTTAGTTGAGATATCTACAGACCCTATCAACTATATCAGCAGAACACAACTCTACAATCATATTCCCGATGCCAATGAACATCATCGATCAATTTCTTCATAGATAGATAAATTCCGTGACAGGTAGATCAATTCCTTATAGATGGATCAATTCCATATAGATGGATCAATTCTTCATGGATGGATCAATTCTTTAAATATAGATCAATTTCTTCATTGATAGATCAATCCCTAGACAGTAAAATCAATTTCTCACTAGCTAGATCAATTCCTTATAGATAAGTAGATCCACCATAGATAGATCAATCCCTAGATAGATATAGATCAATTCCTTATTAGATATATAAATCCCTTGAGAGGGAAATCAATACCTGTATACTTAGATAGATCAATCACTCGAAGGGTAGATCAATATCTTCATAGATAGATTAATCAGTTCACTGGTAGATCAATATCTTCATAGATAGATTAATCAGTTCACTGGTAGATTAATATCTTCATAGATAGATTAATCAGTTCACAGGTAGATTAATATCTTCATAGATAGATTAATCAGTTCACAGGTAGATTAATATCTTCATAGATAGATTAATCAGTTCACAGGTAGATTAATATCTTTGTAGATAGATTAATCAGTTCACAGGTAGATCAATTGCTCCAGGGATAGATCCCTGGACAGTTGGATCAAATCCTTCATATTTCTATCTTTTAAGACTAGATTTAAATCTTTTCACTGTATTTTTATGTTAACAAGGCTTTCAGGGCGCTTCGCGCCCATCTTCTATTTTAATAGTGAACATTTTCTCTTTGTTTACATTGTAAAACAAAAACAAACAAAAAAATCGCAGATTTTATAAAAAAATTGTAGATTTTCGAAATTTTCAAAAATAGAATTCTGTTAGAGGCAAATTTTTTAAAATTCGAGCATCCATACACTTTTCCTGGGGTCACGTGAGGTCCCACAAAAAATGTAGGCCTCATCGGTTCTGATCTTTTGACGTTTATTGGATACAAACAAACAAACAAACAAACAAATAGGGTTTCCATTCGCAAAACTTTTGCGCAATTTTTGCGGAACGAAACGCAATATTTTTCTTTCTTTGCGCATCAATTTTGCGCGAAAAAACAACAATTTGCGCAATCATTCGCAAAAACAAACAAACAAACAAACAGACACCCAGACAAGCAAAGATGATTGGATTTTGGATGTTTCAGTAAAAGATTTCTAAAATGCTGTCATGTTATACAGGGTTAGCCACAAAGGTTGAGACATCAATGATGACTTGAATATCTTTCTATTCGAAGCTATAGGTTTAATCTAGTTTTTGCTCTATATTAAATTTTCATAATATAAATATATTTAATGAAAAAGTATTAAATAAACAAATCCGTAAGTTTAAAGATTGTTGAATTATTGACCAAAGTCCAAAACAAGTTTGATTTCAAATAAAAGACGCCAAATGCTTCTCACTCTAGTTAGTCTGGGGTTCAATCTAGTTTTTGCTCTTTATTAAATTGTTTTATTAGATTATACAAATAAGTATACAGGTGCAGGGACCCAAACAAAAATATAAGAAAATAGAGTGATGAAGATTAACCCTGACTTTAAAAATTAAAAAATTTAAAAATGTTTTAAATTTGAATTAATGTAATTGTGTATTTCTTTTTCAGGAAGCTAAAATTATATGGAATCAAAAGAAAAGGATGTACTGTAAAGTACGTTGCAGTACACGGCTAAACAGTGCAGTACGTTACGAGACAATGCAGTATGTTGCAGTCTGTGGTTGCTGCCAAAAATTCTAACTTTAAGTTAATTGTTTAATAAAACAGTTAACTCAGATCAGAAAATTCTAATAAATCTTGTTATTGACCTATCCCACAGATGAGGTATACAAAGATGCATCATTGACGCGGACCGCCCTGTCCATGTAGCACGGACGGGATTTACTAATTATACAGCTGCCTTTAGCGCTGTCTGTGTTTATATTGGTGTTTTTGTAAATGTTGTGGGTCCAGTGGTTCCAGGGAGGAAGCGTGACAATAACTTAGTCTCAATCACAGACTACACACTACACAGACTGCTCATACACTCTACCTGGATAGGCCGAGCAGGCCTATACTGTCCCGGCACGCCATGCTACGGTTCCATGTAATGTTTTTGACTGACATCTTACGGCCACTTGTTGCATTCAGATCTTTTGATAATTCTTAAATTGTTTTTTTATTTTTATTTCAAGGTAAATTATTAGCCCTGAAATATGAAGGAAAGCAATTAAATATTAAACTCGTTTTTCTGCGGCATTTGATCTTAATGTTGAGAATACGACATTATAAAAATTCTTGCTATGTATTTTCCTATTCAAAGGATCCTTAAATATCCCTGAATATACAGATGTCTCCTGATTGGTCGTGTACAGTACTTGTACACAATAGAACATGTTGTGGAAAATATCGCATATTATAGGTGTTAATCGATGTCTGTAACTCTCTTATCTCTGGTCTCAGTTATTAATTATTATGGAGATACAAATATATTCTTTCTTCAAGTCCATTGCGCATTTTTAAATGAACGTTGCAGCTTGCGTCAACCCTGCATCTTTGTCTACGTTATCTGTGACCTATCCTCTCCCTTTTTTGATGTGTTAAATATTTTTTGTACGACACTCAACTAAACCCTATAAAAATATGTGGTTTACTGTACTGCAATGTTTTTACATTCCTCTTAATTAAAATGTAAATAAACCCAGTGGAAAAGTTTTATTATATAGTCCCAGATACTGTTGTTATTTTTTTTTAAATACAGGGTGTCACACGAAACTTGACAGTTAAGAGACGATCGTCGTTGGTCTTTGAAATAAATTTGCGGTATTTGTTAACTTTGTTTTTATAATTGAAATTCTTGAAACACTGCCTTAAAAAGAATTCAATTTTAAGCAATTTTTGTTAAAATTAATTAGTCTAAATTTAAATAATCTTTTTTCTCCAATAATTTGGAAGCAAGCCCCCCCCCCCCCCTAAAACTCAAAGCTTTTACAGATATTTATTATATTGATTACAACTGTACTCCTACTTTTTTTGCACAACAGAATTTATTTCATCTCATAGAATTTAAGTTTAAGTCAGGTTTTTCATTTTCAAAAATGTCTTTTACTATCTCTAGTTTAAATACTAACAAAATGACAAAATGTCGATTTTTTAGAAACATGTTTTTTGTTAGTTTTGTTTAAATGTGAGATAAAGAAGTAATTACAAGTTGATTGGACTGTATGTACATACCTTTAAAGTATCTTATAGTTGTGCGACTTATGCCTGATATCAAAGAAGTTAAATGTTTTATATTTACAGCTCAAATTGTACCCCCCTCTTAGGGGAAGGTAAAAAATTTTTTTGCACTTCGCGCAAATTTGGCCTCTTGTTGATTTAATTCTATATACAACCTTGTTTGGAAGACACACAAAAGGCAGCCCACATTAGAGAATTTTCTGCCCGGTGTCTCAAGAGTCTGACTTGCTAAGACAAGGTAGACGAATGGATACCGCAAATCATTCAAGATCAAAGACGATCTTCAAACAGTCTCTCAACTGTCATGTTTCATGAGACACCTTGTTTCTATTGGATGTGGAATCTCAAATATTAGCCCAGTTTCTTAGTCATGTCCAGTGATGCATGGTACGTTTTTGGAGTTTTAGACTTTTAACAAGTCAGTGTCTGAATTTAAGGAATTTGAGCCGCGTCTCAAATCCGCAAAAAAACAGTTTCAATTGAGCGCCGGCTCAAATCTTGAAAAATTGAATACAATTTTAGGAAACCAACCATATTTGAGCCGATGCTTAAATTTAAGCCACGGCTCAAATTCTTTAAAATTCGGCCTCAGGTCACAGAAATACTGTGAACTTCCAACAATTAAAAACTGTATTCTGTAACAGTTTGCTTTTATTAAACTTTGCAATATTATTATCCTTGAAAAAAATATAAACACGATGGAAGAAAAGCTTAAATGCGCGCAGAATAAACAATTCTTTAATTTGTGAAACTTGTCAGATTTGTGTGGTATCTCAAGTAGAATGAAATAGAAGGGAGTTACAACTGACGCTGCCTGCAGTCTGCACCCTACCATAAGATTATGCATGCTTTGCAGACGGCTACTTCATTTGTATAAGAAATATTCAGAATAGGTTATTGTATACGCGGTAATTGTACATCAGACTGACAAATATTTCTTAATCAAATGAAGTACCGTCTGCATAGCATGTATAATCATATGGTAGGGCGGGCCGGGTCAGTTTCTATTTTAGCTCCTTGGTGATACCTCAAGTAGAAAAAACCTAAATAGATTTGGGGGAAAAACCATGCAATATGTTCCATCAGTCACTAGTCGTGCTACCATGGAGAATGTTACATACAACCAAAGTCACACTATTGTATGGTTCTAATAGAACAAGGTAGATAGATAGATACGACCTATGGTAGGGAGGGGGTGCAGGGTAAGATTGGTCGATTTTTTACTTATTTTAGAATTGGACCCCCCCCCCTCTCTAAAGTAGATGTCGTGTGCCCGTTAACAAGAGAGTTTTTGGCCGAATTTCAGGCTTATACAGGGTGTCCCAAAAAACATGGGAATTCAGTGACGAATTCGATATCGTCTTTTCAAATAATTCTTTGATTTAGTGTAGTGATACCTACTGAGAAAGCTGTAATCTGTAAGAGTTTCGTCTGCTATGTTTACATTTTGTTTGTTTATGTTTTGACTGCATACAGTTGTACTTAGTAAAACAAGAAAATTGCAGTATACAAACAGAGTAAACTTGTCTGTCTTCACTGTTCATCTTGCGGAGACATTATAGACACATCTTTACAGTCTTTTACCCTTTTCATAAAATAAGCTCTAGCAGACATAATAATATTATGGCTTTTGAAATTAGGTATTACAATGCTAATTCATAACAAAGACGATATCAAATTCGTCACTGAATTCCCATGTTTTTTGGGACACCCTGTAGATCTAAAACCGTGACCGCAATTGAACATTCAGCATTTCAAAACCCCTAAAGTCTGGAGCCGGTGAATACTATCTCGTTGTTTTTGTTTCAATATTTTTAAATTGTTTGATATATTGCCAAAAAAATGATTTTTTTGGAACTGATTTTTTGTCTCTAGTTTGTTAAATTATTAACGGATTTCTCCGATTTCACAGATTTCAAGACGGATCTTTTGGTATTGGTTGGTTCCCATATCGATGTCTTTAGAGGAAATTATTTTTCGCTTGCATTTAGTGAATTATTCAACCTTAAATAAAAAACCGGTTGCCGGTTAGCAATTTCAACTTGCGAAAAAATCCCCATTTCTAAATGTTGTTTTAACATACAAAACCAGTCCTATGCACATTGCACATAGAGGAAAGTGCAATGGCCAAAATCGATCAACCTTAGTGCAGACTGCGTCATGAGCCCCTCGTAATGGTCTCCACACCCACAACTAAGCTTTCAGTGTGTACAGCAGTGATTTGCAGTACTCTGACCAAAGAAATAGCGTGTTTTAGTGGAGTGTCCAAGTGTTCACAGATGAGTATTCGCTACCCCTATCCTTTAGAATAGATATTATAGAAGAAATGTATACAAATTTGTAGAAAAAAAATATGTTATGCAATGTTTTTTTTTGGATATTCAAGAAAACACTGCATATATATTTAAAGATTAAATATTTTCTTTAAAAAATGTCACTTATTACATCGTTTAGGGGTAGCGCCAGGCTTGGAGACGATTTTTCAAGGCTCATGGCGGCCCTATGCACCCCTCCCTATGGTTATAAACCCCTTCCCTCCCTATCCTATGGTTGTAAACCCCTTCCCTCCCTATCCTATGGTTGTAAACCCCTTCCCTCCCTATCCTATGGTTGTAAACCCCTTCCCTCCCTATCCTATGGTTGTAACGCGACAAAGAAACTGGACTGTTTAAATTTTTAAATATTGAATCTAAATATTGTCAACATTCTTGTATTATTATGAAAAAATAAATAAATAATAAATCATACAATTATTTGATAGAATTAAAGAACTTTAAGGAAGGGGTGGACACGTTTTTTCGGGTGACCATCCGATTCACATTGATTCAAAGGTTGCTAATACTGTCATGCAAAAATCTACGAGAATTCAGACAAGAACTTCTTTTAAGCTAAGCCAGGGAATAGGAATAAAGGGAAAGGAAATGGCGCTGGTCTCCCATGAGAAAGCCAGTCATACTGCTTTGCAGACAAGTTCGGTAAACTTTACACACACTCTTTTGGTACAGACACACAACATGACTACAGTCAAGGAAAGTGCAAAACAATGTCGTAAATTATAATTAAGCTTGAATAACGAGTAGTTTATTGTAAACTTTAATCAAATTATATCCTTTGCATGAAAATTTAGCTTATAGTGTTGACTTAAATATATAAATAATATATTAAATGTATATTAAACTTATTTTTAACTAAACAATTAACAATAAACAAATGTACTCTCCTAGATTGTACAAATATCGAGATTCTTATGTACTGTATAAACCTACAGTACACACCTTCGGTTCTGTAAACCTTACACACACTCTTTTGGTACAGACACACATACATGACATTTCCGACCCCGGAGCTAAACGCAAAATCTTAATATTTTTATTAATGAAATTAAAGAATTAGCAAGGTCAAATCAAAAGAAAAGGCTCTACGAGACTGAAAAGTCGACCCAGTCATAAAAATTATGCAACTTGTCTCGTCTGTCTGGTTCACATGGTTCCCTTTGAACATTATTCTGAGTAAATACGTTTACATTTTGAACATCGAAAATTTTCAGTTAGGGTCTCAAGCACAGTCTGAAGGAAACTCAAAATTCAAATATTTTTTTCAGAAAAACGCCAATATCTTCCAGATGGTTGCTTCAATGAAGGTTGAACGAGTACCTACAAAGTATTCGAGCTTATTTAAAAATACATGATCAGTCCCTTTCCATGTAAATTCATTTGCTCAGAGATCAAAATAACATTAAAAGAACTGTAAGCTTAATATCAAGTGACTCTCCATGCACAGATGACAATGCCCGATTTAAAACACTGCCCTTGTAAATCGGGTATTACCCTCTGTGCATCGAGGGTCACTTGAAATAACACGAACACTCCCTTTAACCGGACAAAGCTCGAAAGTTAAATAATTTGAAATTCATCTTTAGAAAATATTCACGAACTCTACTTTGAATGTTTAAAGCTGTCCTGCATTGTATTCCTTCATGTGTTACTGAGACAAAAGTAGACTGAATCAGGGGAACGAATAAAAGTGTGAGTAAAAAATAAACATGATTCTTTTGCATAATTTTTGTTATATTTAAAGGATTACTGAATACAACTAATATCAGGGAAAAATCACAATATTAAAAAATCTAAATATTTCATAAAATTCTGTTCTCATATATAAAGTTTAAGAAGTTCAATACTTGTAAGATCAAAGTTTAAAAAAATGACTAATGATATTAGCAAAACTAAATTCTCATTTCCAGGGATTTAATTTTGCCAATATCTTAAATTCATTCAAAAATTGCATCGTCGAAAACTATCAAATCATATAAAATTACAAAATTTTGAATACCTCAAAAAAATTTCAAAAATCTTAAATTTCGAAATTGTCAACAGAATTTTAAGTGACCCTCAGTACAAAAATTGGTTTTCAAATTTGATACAAAAAGTTTACGCAGCAAAGAGATTTACTTTAAAAAGAAAACGAAGATATCTTACTCATTGTTATTCAGATAAAGATTGTTGTTGTGAATCGGACATGGAACTCCTTACATGGGGGTCACTTAAAATTACATACAGTCAATCTCACATGTATGAATACATAGTAAGAGCGCATGAAATGTCGTCTTGAAATTTTTATAATTTATGACAGCTGTAATGCTTCATCGTTGGTCAACACAAAAAGAAAGCTGATGAGATCTTTGCAGCTTTAAAGGGTTGAAAATACGATTTATAAAAATGTATCCAAATATCATTAAAGAACTTCACAATCTTTTGATAATTCTTAAATTGTTTTTTTATTTTTATTTCAAGGTAAATTATTAGCCCTGAAATATGAAGGAAAGCAATTAAATATTAAACTCGTCTTTCTGCGGCATTTGATCTTGATGTTGAGAATACGACATTATAAAAATTCTTGCTATGTATTCAAATATCTTTGATTCAATGAAGAAAGTCCAGAAAAATAGATAAATAATGCTAAAAATATAAAAATGGAACTGATAAATACTAAAATAATGTAATGAAAAATGTCGAAAAGGAAATGCTTAAATTGTACGAAACCCAATGTAACAAGAAGATAAAAAACTTTATTTTTTTTTTACAAATTCAAATTTTAATTTTTTCAAGGAACTGTTTAAACATTTTGGTTAGTATAGAAGGTACCAATTATATTTATCTACCAATACGCTCTTTAACGTTTTTTTTTGTAAAAAAATAAAAGAATATTGAGATATTAATAACATTCTGTTTAAAATTTCGAACAAAATCTTAAAATGACTCTAAGGGTAATTTCATTTTGCAGACAATGCCCCGTAATATTTTTAATTTGTTTGTTGGATTAGAATTTAATCCGATTTCTAAATTTGAGTTAAAGACGTAAACGTCATTCCAAGTGACCCTTCATGCAAAGAGGGCAACGCCCGATTTACAACAGTACCTTCAAAAGCTTTTTCTGATCAATTAAAAATTATATATCAACGTTTTTGCTTCTTTGAACAGTTTGTTCTCCTAAGTGACTTGCGCATTCACTGTTTATATGAAGCAATGAAGAAATTCACCGAAATGAACACTTTTTAAAGTCAGAAAAAACGTTATCTTCCACATCTTTAATCAGATAAAGGTTTCAAGGGTACCGTTGTAAATCGGGTATGACTGTTGTTGTATGCAGGGTCACTTGAAATTACGGTTACAGTCCCTTTAATTTCTAAATTCTTATGAACAGTGTAGTATATCCCTCAAGCCAACGAATACTTAAACAGTTCCTCTAAATAATATGTTTTAACATAATAATACAAATTTGTATAATAAATGTAGTCTGGCGGTGTTAAATACTTTCCCATTAAAAAATCCCTAAAAATTGCCCAAAATTTGAAATTTAAGTCAACACGTTAGAAAAGGTTAGGGTAAGATTAGGTTTGGGCCGAGTGCTGCGGCCGGAATGAGAAAGAATTTCCACATTAGGAAAGTACTTAAAAACGTAAATACAGTACTGAAGAGAGCTGGATTTTTATTACACTTGCGAGACCATGTTTTAATGGTTAACATTTGAGAAAAATTCGCTAAAATTAATCGATAATCAAAAGAGTATTTCGCACATTTTCAACAATTTAAAAATTATGCGCATTTTTCCCTTGAATGAATTTTAAGAAAAGATATAATTAGTTCTCTTCTTTAAATTAAGAGACATCAGGTAATCGGGGTTCTGATGACAAAATGTATCATTTATACAAAATTCTACTAATAGGAAGTTTTACATTTTTAATTACAGTTTTAAAAATAATCATTTTGAAATGAATAAGAAAGATCACTGTGTCACCAAGTACGTTGCGGGGGTTCTTTGAACTTTTTTTTTTGAATCCGACTAGTGGGAGGTCTAGCATCTAGATCTGGGGGGTCCAAGGGGCTCCAACATTTAGAGCTGGAAGTCCTCCAGTATCTTGATTCATTTTCTAAAAAATTAAAAAAGTTTTAAAGTTACGTTGACAAAAAAAGATTTATTTAAATATTTAGCTTCTACGTAAAAAAATCAGTTTTGAAAACATTTATCTTTCTGATATTAATACAGCAGACAACACTTGGAGAACAAAAAATTGAGAAAAGCCCTTCCAAAATGAAATTACAGGACACCCTGTAGTTAGAGACTAACCTGGACGAAGAGTGGAGTTGCTCTAAGAGCACCCTGCTGCTGCTGCTCTAAGAGCACTTATTTACAAGAGCAGCCACCGCCGCTCTTTTTGTTGGATTTGCCCTGAGGTCGACCCTTATGAAGTTTAACTCCACCCTCCACACTGGAGTCTAGCTCCCTCTTCTGGTCCTAGCAGTATTAAGTTGAAAACTTATAAATGCGGATTAATTTAATCAGGTTTCAGCTTATGGATCAAGTTTAAAAATTGCCAATGGTCTTCTGGCAAATAGAGTCTAGTACAATAAATGTCAACGTAGAATTTGAATACTCTGAGTACAGCTGTATTCTGACGTCACAAGTGTCAACAGTTGTATGTCTGACAAAATTATTATAAAAAGTGATAATTTTAGAGTAAAGTGCTTCTCTTCCTGTAAAATAAGTGAAATTTTTTGTGTTCCGGTCGCCTAATCTGAATAACCAATGTGGACATTTCAGCTTACTCTCATTTCCTGCTTAATCCGCTCTTTTTCTCTCTTTCTAGATATCCACACCAGATTCTGACCAATGAGAGTTCTCTCGTTAAATGGCGCGTAAATTTCAAATTTACCCGGCTCTGATTGGCTGTCCAGGATTCTGCGTGGATTTTAAGCACAATTTAAACTAAAGATTAAATTAATCTTGAGATTTATAAAAAGAGGAGATCAAGCATTGATCTTGATATCCACAATTTTAAGTTTTCAGCTCAGATTAATGTATTCCGGTTTCAATTGGTTCAAATAGAAGATCGGGATATTGGACAAGCTAATTTAAGACAAGATTTAGTTAACCCAGACTCCACTTATTCAGACATAAAGGAGTTGAGTCTTTGCCACAAACGCTTATTTTCTAGTCCCTATATCTTTGCAATCTGATTGTAGAAACCTTTGATTTTTCAAACTTAAATTATTTGATTTCACCCTATTCCTGCTGGGGGGGGGGGGATCAACGTGACCCCCCCACTGTAGTTTTTTTATTTAACTCAAAAAGTATTAGTCAGAGGATGTTGAAATTTTCTGTCTTTTTCTAACTTTTTTTACCAACTGCCTGAGTCTCCAGGCACACTGCCTGGGTGATTACATGTTACCTCTTTGCTTTAAGACACCGTGTGGGTGAGGGATAAGTGAGTATATTAAAAATGCAGAAGTATTAATAATTTAACTAATGATCATTGAGGGAGGGGTTGCTCGGCCGTCATGAGCCCATCATTCCTGCCTCTGAGCCGCAAAATTTGCAAAATGTTTTATGTTCTTGTTCCTTATATTGAATCTAAACCGGCAAGAATCTGAGTTCTTACTGCAAATAATGCGGCTTGGAGGTAGAAATGAGGGGCTCATGACAGCCCCTTTCCTCCCTTATTACGCTGATGAAGTTTATTTACCTTTTTACTCCTTAGCACTAGTTCGGTAACTGCTCGGAACATCTCCTCCACGTTTATATTGTCCTAGAAAATATATAAATTCTAAAATTGATGAAATAGTGTATACATTGTATATTATAGTATTTACAATTATGGATTTGATGCTGTCCCCCCCACCCCCATTGAATTCTAAATTTATATAATTTTACATAATAACAAATGATAAACAATTATCAAGAAAGTTTGGGAATCTAATTTTTAAATTTGAAAATTCATATGTTGGGTTTGGCAATTTAAGTGTTGGGTTTGGCAATTCAATTGTTGGGTTTGGCAATTCAATTGTTGGGTTTGGCAATTTAAGTGTTGGGTTTGGCAATTCAATTGTTGGGTTTGGTAATTCAATTGTTGGGTTTGGTAATTCAATTGATGGGTTTGGCAATTGAATTGTTGGGTTTGGCAATTCATTTGTTGGGTTTGGCAATTTAAGTGTTGGGTTTGGCAATTCAATTGTTGGGTTTGGCAATTCGATTGTTGGGTTTGACAATTCGAGTGTTGCGTTTGGCAATTCGATTGTTGGGTTTGGCAATTTATTTTTTGAGTTAGGGAATCTAATTGTTACGTTTAGCAAGCAAATTGTTTTTTTTTGGCAATTGCCATCTTTTTTATTCTACATCGGAAACGATTAAAAACCAACCTTAGCCGAGGTTTCGAAAAGTCTGATCCCCATCTGATCGGCAAACCGTCGAGCATCTTCCGTTAACACAACCTGGTTTAAAGGGACTGTTATTGTAATTGAAAGCGACCTTCCGTTAAAAAAACGCCAATAAAGGAATTTTTGTTGTAATTTTAAGCGACCCTCTATTTAGCGAGAGGCAAGCCCAATTCACAACGGTACTTTTGAAACCTTAATCTAATCAATAATATGGAAGATAACGTCGTTTTGCTAACTTAGGTGTTTGATTCTAATAATTTCTACATTGAAAGAAATACGTGTGTCACTTATGAAAAGAAACTACGCACGCAAATCGACAATTTTCAAAAACAAAAACATGGATATCTAATTTATTCTTGATCAGACAATCGAACATGCCACTGTCTTAATGGGGAGTCACTTGAAATAATGTTAACGGCTATAACTCCACCATAGAAAAAAACAAACCAAAAAAATGAAGTTTTATATTTACTTTTTAAAAAATGTTACGGGGCATTGTCTGCAAAATACGCGAATTTTAAATTTACCTTTCTATCTGGATCATCATTCTTGTTCCCCACCAGGATTCTACAAATTTTTAAACAGTTTAAAAATGTGTTTTTTTAAATCTATATTAAAAACTTCTTTTAAAAGAGTGTAAATGATAATTCAAATTGAAATAATTAAGTATTCCACAAAATTTTAAACATAATTTTTTTTTTAATTCTCAAACACCATAAGAGCAATTTTTGATGGTAAAAAAATTCACAAAAAATGATCTATAAAATTAGAAAAAATAAGCATTTAGCTAAAGATACCAAAATTTAAGTCAACTTAATTTGAAAAATTTCTAAAAAATTATTTAAACTATTCATCCCTGTTGACAACGTCACAGTTTTGATCTATTTCATGGAGCCAGCGTTTAACGTTGGCAAAACTTTCTCCAGCAGTTACGTCATACACGATTATAACACCATGAGTTCCTCTGAGCAAACAATAGATGTCGTTGCATTCTTAATTTAGAAGTATATGTCGTTGCTTTGCTTGTTAAAATATAGATGTCGCTGTTTTACAAGTAGAACATGAATATCAGGAATAACAGTAATACCAGAGAGACCAGAGATACCAGGAATACCAGGGATATTAGGGATATTAGGGTTACTAAGGACACCGTGATCCCAGGGATACCAGGGATATCACAGATACCAGGAATATTAAGGATACTAGGGATACCAGGGATACCAGGGATACCAGATATACCAGGGATACCAGGGATACCAGATATACCAGGGATACCAGGGATACCAGATATACCAGGGATACCAGGGATACCAGGAATACCAGGAATACCAGGAATACCAGGGATATCAGGGATACCAGGGATACCAGGGATACCAGGGATACCAGATATACCAGGGATACCAGGGAGACCAGGAATAATAAAAGAAAGAAAGAATGCTAGGAAGAAAGGTGTGTATATCTAATATCCGTAAAACAGTATAACAGTAACATAACTTCTTATTGTAGACCAGTAGAAGCAAAATAGATTAAACATTAGGGATACAGGTATTACAGAAAAAAAGTTAAATAGACATAGAAAGTTTTCTTTCAGGTAAAAATGTCGTAACAGAAAAGTAAAAAGATTTTCTTTAGATTAGCAGAATAAAAACTGTAGATTTAAATANAAAATAAGAGAGATAGAGAAGGTTTAAGGATAGAAAATAAGATAGAAGGTTTACGGATAGAAAATAAGATAGATAGAGAAGGTTTACGGATAGAAAATAAGATAGTTAGAAAAGGTTTACTGATAGAAAATAAGATAGATAGAGAAGGTTTACGGATAGAAAATAAGATAGAATGAGAAGGTTTATGGATAGAAAATAAGATAGATAGATAAGGTTTACGGATAGAAAATAAGATAGATGGAGAAGGTTTAAGGATAGAAAATAATATAGATAGAAAAGGTTTACGGATAGAAAATAAGATAGATAGAGAAGGTTTACAGATAGAAAATAAGATAGTTAGAGAAGGTTTACGGATAGAAAATAAGATAGATAGAGAAGGTTTATGGATAGAAAATAAGATAGATAGATAAGGTTTACGGATAGAAAATAAGATAGATAGAGAAGGTTTAAGGATAGAAAATAAGATAAATAGAGAAGGTTTAAGGATAGAAAATAAGATAGATAGAGAAGGTTTACGGATAGAAAATAAGATAGATAGAGATAGATACAATAGATAGATAGAGATAGGTAGATAGATACTAGGTGTAAGTAAATAATAACTTATTCATGAGTGTACTGTAAACACACAAAACAGAATGATTTACTTCTGGGAACCTAAGGGTAGTATATGCACAGGAGGGAGCGATAATAATAAGAGTTAAATAAATATTAACACAGTAATACCAAAGTGTAGGGGTGGGGTGGGTAGGTTTGGGTTTACAAATATGGACAAATTATTTTTTTCTTATATCTAACGGTTCTGTCAATATTCCAGAAAGCTGTGACTTTCGATCACAATTTGACCCATTAAACATAATTTGCTAGCCTTTTTTCTTAAATACTTTTTTATTGGCATATGCATTTTGAATGAAAATGTATAAAATAAACAAATCCGTGAAGTAAATGATTATTGAAATATAGACCAAAACAAGTTTGATATCAAATAGAAGAAACCGAATGCTGCTCACTCTGGTTAATCCGGTGTGAGGGGGGTAATAGAAATATTTTGGGTCAGACAACATGACCAGCCAATTTCAAATCCGTGAATAAAAACTGCTAATTTACGGAAGAATATTCCGGCCAATATTGATCTAGATCTGACCGGCTAATTTAAAGGGACTGTACGTACTTAATTTTAAGTGACCCTCCAATTGTAAAACTGCACGGTGCCCTTAAAAACAAAGGTGGCTTCCTCATTGTTTCTGAGATTTATATCTATAAGGTATCGTTTGAATCGTACATAGAACTCTAAAACATGAAGAATTTCCCGGAATTGCGTTCACAGTCACTTTATAGCTAATAGAACCTCTGTAAAGGAGGTTTAAAACATCAAAAATGACATGACTATTGTTCCTGTAGTAAGTTGAAGTTATTGTTCGAAACCTCTCTTGACCTAAACATTCATAAAATTTTTGATTCGATGCAACAAAGGTTTGGATTCTTTAAAAGCTGACAAGAGGACCGAAAAAAAGTGTTTATTAAGAGAGTTGTAAATATTGAAAAGAAAAATGTTGTTAATGTTCAACTAGGACCTGAAAGTGGAACTAGTTGTTAATGGGGCCTGGCACTAGTTAGTTCAAATGCTTCTCACAAAAATTGAAAATGATCATTTCTCTATTGACTAACCTGCAGTATCCCATATTTGAAGCTTTACTCGCTCTCCCTGAACTTCAATTGTTCTACACATCAGCAAACATTATCATCACGTGGTAGGCGCCATTTTGAAAAACCGCCATTTTGTAAAACCGATAATACATAAACATTTAGGAGAACACCAAGTTAAAAATTATGTAAAAGTGGTATCAGGATCAATTCCGAAAAAAAATTAGGCGTGGGAAAATATCGGAAAGACTGTTTCCGTAAAAGTGAAGCTCCAGGAAAAAATCAAAAAAAAAACTTCGAGAATACCAAATCCGGAAACTTATAGCGCAAAAAATTTGAAACGTAAGTAGTTTTGCATTAAATACATGTTTCTAACATTTAGCTCGTGAACTGTCTCAGTCACTCAGAACATAAAGGGGCATTACGCGTTGGTTAAGAAAAGTTAAGGGTCTGAAAAAGTCAAGATACATCAGAAATAAAATTCCTAAAACTGTCCATTCAAGAATTTCTTTCCGACTTTTTTCCACCACCATCAAAGTAAAAATGTTTGTGTACGACTCACCTCAAACTCTATGAATTAAAAATCTTGATTAAAAATGTAAGATTTGTTTTTACTCGAATTATTTCACAACGTCAAGTTGAAGATACATTTTTAATGAAAAAAGGAAACAGCATTAAGCCTTAAGGCTGGGGTCTAAATATACAGAAAGTGGGAGGGGGGGACTTAACGGAGTTGAATGACTTTATAAACAGCACAATTGTAATTTTAAATAAAAGATTTTCTATAAATCACAAATTTGTAAAGATGACACTTCTTTAATGAGAATGGTTTGCCTAATTTTGAAATCTACTCCAATGGTAGTTATATAGTTTCCACTGAAACAGTTGTCCGCGAACCTGAAGAAAAAAATAGAAAATTACAGATTCACAATAATCTTTTTAAAGAAATTAGTTAACTTAATGCTAGGCATTCACAGTGGACTAAGCCAGTGGAGGTCGGTCAAATAGGCCTAGGATTAGGCTGGGTACTGTAAAAAGTCTGAACGCGCCATGGGAGTTGTCTTAGTAAGCCCTCCGACGGGACTATGCCAAGAAAATTGACCCCTGTCGTATGTTAGTCTGGTTAGGGCGACGTACTGTACAGAATATGGAACCGGGCTACCATAGGATCGGGTCAGTACACGCTGTTATCTGACAGGCCGGTACAAATTGGGCATGTCCTGTTCGAATTCAAATTTACTACGGCGCACAGTGCATTATTTCAACATCAAAAACTTAAATTCCTCTCTGAAATGTCTTTAAAAGTTTCAACCCCAATAGACAAATTCCTGTATATACGCCTCTGAGTTGGTGTGAGATATTTTCTTAACATTTCTGATTTAAATCTGTCTTAAGATGAAGTGCAAAATTTCGAATCTTCCATCTATATATAAATTTGGCTTGTCTGTTTGTTTGTATCCAATAAACGTCAAAACGGCTGTACCGATCGGGCCCAAATTTTTTTGTGGGACCTCACGTGACCCCAGGGAAGGTTTATGAATGATCAAAATTTTAAAAATTTGTGTTTAAGTTTTTTATTTTTGAAAAATTTTGAAAATGCGCGAAAAGATATTATAAAATCTGCAAACTTTTTTGTTTTTGTTTTATACTGTACAAAGAGAAGATGTTCAGAAATAAAGCCACAATTAAAAGTTGAAATAAAAGATGGGCGCGAAGCGCCCTAAAAGCCTAGAAAGAAGGGCGCCCTGAATTCCTAGTGATGTTAAAAATAGGCAAAATTTCAAACCTGCTGAAGTTTAAAAAGTACAAAATTTAAACTCTGTTAAAGTTTAAAATGTGCAAAACCTCGTGAGGATCGAAATATTAAAATATTAAAATAAGGCTGAAAAAAACGATTCGTTCGAAGAAGACCGAAACTTTAAAATAGCGAAAGGAATAAATTCTGAAATATGTAAGAGTTCAGACTTTTTCAATGTTAAAAATATATCTCATCATTTTTTAATTCTAAACTGTACCTTTGTGTGAAATTCATCAATAGAAAATACTACAAAAACAAAAATAATTTTTAGAACATTTGTATAAAAAAAAATAAAGATCAATTAAAAACAGTGTATTTAAAAAAAATCATATTTCACCTCACAAATATAGAAGATTATATTTTTAAATAATCAGATCTATTTTTTAGAACTGCAAGTGTATCAATCAAATCAACCAATCAATAAAACGAATTAAAAAAATGATTTCCTCGAAAGCTTTTTTCTCTCTAAGGCAAAGAAAAGCAAAGTAGGGACTGAAGATGTTAAAATGTAACCATTAACTTGGATCCGCAACATTTTGGCCTCCTGGATCCGGATCCGCAAAAATATGCAGATCCACAGATCCGGATCCAAGGGGTAAAATATCAACCAAAAACTGCAAAAAACTTTTTTACTCCTAAAACCCAAATCTGAACTTTTGAAAAACAAGAGAGATTATAAAAATTTCCTCATTTCTGAATAGTTCATCAAGTTTTAGGATAAAAATAAGCGAAAAAAAAATAAAACATTTATGTAGATTTTGATTTAAGAGATTCGAAAAAATGGAGAATATGAAGAAGCTGATAAAAATAATATCTTAAAAAAAAATATTGATATCCACAAAACTGCCTAACCCCATTCATGAAACCCGGGTTCCAAAACTGGTTTTTACAGAGAGTCTCAAGTTTTGGGCTCAATCTTTAACAAGAAAAAGGAAATTCCCGGCATCGTTGTTCAAACAATCGGACATTGACATAAATAGAGGTTTACTTGAAATCTAGTCTAAACTCTAAAATAACTATCCCGGTTCAAACGATTGAATTTTGACTGTACATATATTTCATACGTGAATATTAATCGGTGCAATACAATGGTTATCAAAACAATAACAATAGCAATAACAAAAAAAATAAAAAAAAATAAAAAACAAATAAATAAAAAAAAGACCAATCAACTAAATAAATAAAAAGTCTTCCAAAACATATTGGTCCCTTTCTCTTACCTAACTAGAAGTGAACTCTTTCCAACCCCCGAGTCTCCGATTATCAAAAGTTTAAACAAATGATCATAATCCTGAAAGTAGAATTTTTATCACAAAAAAACAAACAAACAAACAAACAAACAAACAATCAAACAAACAATTAAACAAATAAACAATTCTTAGAAATAAATAATAAGCAAAAAATTCAAATATTTACACTTTACAAACGAAATTAAAAAAAGGAAGAAATATTTAAAATATTGAAAAACTTTGACATGAAAACTAAGATCGAATTATTTCTCAATTAATACTAAAATAACTGATAAAAAACTGAGACAGTACTGAATAAGAAATAAAAGTCTAGATTTCACAAAAATAAAAATAAAATAAACATAATTTTTTACCTTAGCCGCCATTCTGGTCGAATTTCTAAGCTGAACAGGACTCTAAATAGTACAGTACAACAGTACAGTGTGACCCATAAATATGCGGAAAACGATGACAAAAAGAAATTTTTGCATAGGTTAATTGAATTGGGTATCTTCCATGGATCTTTAAAATGAGACATTTCGTTAGACATTCTTAAAAACTACTAAGAATAATACTAATAGTAAATAAGACGTATCAGAGAAATCTTTGCAAAGGTTTAATAATAAAAAAAACATTGTAAAATAATAAGTAAAATTGTATACCTGGTTCATAACCTAATAACTACAAAAGCAGGGCGTTCTTTTATAATTTAAACCATTGTAAGTCTGAAACAGAAATATTAATAAAATTATTTTGCTAGCTGACATTTGACAGTACAGTACAATACAGAGTGCTGTACTGTGTGTACAATGAAGAGGGTACGCCGTACATTGTACATAATGTTTAAATACTAAACAAAACACGAAATTATCAGAAACACAATCTTTAAAAAACTAGCAATCCATATGTAATCACAATAAATAAAAGTTGCATCTTGAAAATCACAAAATTATATAAATGGCAAGATTTAGGAATCACAGCAGAGATCAAAATTAAATCATTATTAATCAAATTATTAATCTTTAATAAGCTCATTATTACATGCTTAAATATTAATACAACTAAATCAAAAAGAAAACAACATATTTAAAATATGAATTATTAATCTGTTTGAGTGATGATAGCTAGTTTACAAGCAACAACGGTACAGTACAATATACCGTACAGTAAATTGCTCGTATACAACTCAGTATAGTACAGTAAAAGCTAGGGACAGTACAGTACAGAAAAGAACAAGAACAGTTAAGAACAGTACAGAACAGATTAGTGATGTACAATACAATGAAGTACATTGCTCGTAGAGTATTGTACAATACAATAAATCTCATACAAGAACAGTACAGTAAAGAACAGCACAGAACATTACAGTACAGTAAAGAAGTACAGTACAGTACAGTACATTCCAGTAAAATATTGTTAATTATTATTAAGCTCATTATCACATGCTTAATTATTAATACAACTAACAGTAAAATATCATTCACATTATATGATCAATTTAATCTAACAAATAAATATACTCAGCCTTTAATAAGTATACCTATCTTGGAAGCTAAGTGTACTGCAGCTTTTTTGTTTACAATTGTTTGGATTCTAAGAACTGGTTTGTTATATTCCATAGAAGCTGGAAGCTAAATGTACTGCAGCTTATTTCTTTACAATTGTTTGGATTCTAGGAACTGGTTTGTTATATTCCATAGAAGCTGGAAGCTAAATGTACTGCTGCTTATTTGTTTACAATTGTTAGGATTCTAGGAACTGGTTTGAAATATTCCATAGAAGCTGGAAGCTAAGTGTACTGCAGCTTGTTTGTTTACAATTGTTTGGATTCTAAGAACTGGTTTGTAATATTCCATAGAAGCTGGAAGCTAAGTGTACTACAGCTTATTTGTTTACAATTGTTTGGATTCTAAAAACTGGTTTGTTATATTCCAAAGAAGCTGGAAGCTAAGTGTACTGCAGCTTGTTTGTTTACAATTGTTTGGATTCTAAGAACTGGTTTGTTATATTCCATAGAAGCTGGAAGCTAAGTGTAATGCAGCTTATTTGTTTACAATTGTTTGGATTCTAAAAACTGGTTTGTTATATTCCATAGAAGCTGGAAGACCTTTCCATTCTCTACTATACTGCTCGGCCTACAGAAGGGAGAAATTAATGAAGGAATTAGGACTGAATTAAATAAAGTTGAGCTAAATAATATTAAAATTAAAATAATATTAAGAGCAAGATCAAAATAATATTAAGAGCAAGATCAAAATAATATTAAGAGCAAGATCAAAATAATATTAAGAGTAAAATGAAAATAATATTAAGAGCAAGATCAAAATAATATTAAGAGCAAGATCAAAATAATATTAAGAGCAAGATCAAAATAATATTAAGA